CTGCCAGACGTGGAGAGGGCCGCTTGAGCCATCGGCCTGTCTTACGTGGGTTGGGTATTTAGGCTAATTATTATAATTAGTAATCATTTAGGAAGCACTAATGAGCTCTGTAACTCAAGACGGAAACGTAACGAGTTCCGGAACTAGACACCAGATGATCTAAAAATGTCATGCTGTCCTGCCCAGAGGCCAGTGTCATGTGACTTGCCAGCCTTGAGCATATCGAGCCATAGATTAGACTTCCCACAGCATCCTTCCGTCTTTCTTGGACCCATGTTTCCCCCGGGCTGTTTTTTTCCACTCTAAAGTCTGACTTCCTTCCAGTGTTATTTTACGTTCTTATTAATTCTTTGGATGATGGGACAGAGAGTACCTCATTACATTTTCCCATCTCTTCAGACATGATTGGCATGAGATTAGGCGGATGTGAACGTGAAGGTAGTGCCGATAATGGACTTAAGGAAGTAGAAAACCACAAAAACAGGAGCCGGTCCAATCACGTGTTAATGAACTTGACAGCATGTGGGTTTAATATCTGAAAGCCATGAAGTAGTAGAGGCTTCATAAGAGTCACGCTTTTGTTTGAGTTTGCTATTGAATTTGGAAACCTGTGATTGAAGCATGATAGAATCCAAGAAAGAGGTACAAAAATGATTAAAGATTTGGAAGGTAGCTTCTATAAAGAAATGACTTCAGAGGTACTGGATTTCTTTATCATCTTAGTAAAGGTACAGCTTAATTATGGCATCCAAGGGTATGACTGACAATATTTACTTGTTTGCTCAAGTTAATATTTATGAGCTGCTGTGGAGGCAGAAAGACGGTATGTTCCTGCAGTGAGATTGTCTCCATTTCGAGCTAAGATGGGGTAGGGGAGAAAAACAGCCCAAAGTGGAGTCACAGTGTCCTGAGACATTGAGAATTCTTGATTATCAGGGTCATAAGAACCTAGGTGCATGGTCACAGGGAATATGGGGTTCCCTGCTCAGAAACTAAGTAAGTCAATAGAGTAGTATATTTAAGGGGATGATTTGAGTATGGCAGAGCTTTTGATGGAAAGGCATAGAATCCTTTCTAGCCTTATGATTCTGAGATGCCTTCTTTACCACTGGGAGAAACAGACCAGTCGACTCTGAGAATTTCGATTGGATTATTCTCATATCTGTCATCCATTCACCGAATTGTCCAAAAATATTTCAGATGGAAATACCATATTCCTGCCTTTTGCCCCAAAAACACACTGGTGTTTTTATTGGGATTGCAATGATTCTATTGTTTAGTTCCTGGAGAACTGAGAACTTTATAATGTCTAGGTTCCAACCTATGACCACGGTTCATCTCTCTCTTGTTTTCCAATTGAAAAAAATTTTTAAAATTAGAGTTGACATGCAATACTATACTATTCAAGAATCGAAATATAGGTTCTATTTCATTGGGAGAAATGGGCTTTTTATGCCTTCTGTTTTTTTTTAATTGAGATATAATTGACATATACTGTATTTTCGCTGTACAACGTAATGATTTGATATATGTACATATTGCAAAATGATCACCACAATAAGTTTACTTGACACCAAACCACACGTAGGTACAAATTTTTTATGTTGTGATAAGAACTTTTAAGATCGCTCTTAGCAGCACTCACGTACAACACAGTCCTATTAACTGGAGTCAGCACGCTGCACATACAGCCCAGGATTTACTCATGACTGGAAGTTTGTACCTTTTATCTATAACCATTTTCCCCATCCTCTACCCCCTGCCTCTGGCTACAACCAACTTGTTCTTCGTATCTATAATTTCAGGATTTTTTTTTTTTTTTTTAGATTCCACACAGAAATGAGATCATATGGTATTTATCTTTCTCTGTCTGACTTATTTCACTCAGCATAATGCCCACAGATTCTGTCCATGTTGTTGCAAATGGCAGGATTTCCTTCTCTTTAATGGCTGAATAAAATTCCATTGTCTGTATGTGCCGCATTGTCTTTATCTGTTCATCTGTTGATGGGCACTTCAGTGGTTTCCATATCTTGGCTACTGTAAATAATGCTGCAGTGAACATAAGGAGACAGATACATTTTCAAGATAATGATCATTTCCTCTGGGTAAATACCCAGAAATGGAATTGCTGGGTCATATGGTAGTTGTATTTTTAATACAGCTCCATACTATTTTCTATAATTCCTGCACAAATTTACAGTCCCAACAACAGTGCACGAGAATCTCTTTTTCTCCACATCCTCGCCAACACTTGGAGTTTGTCGATTTATTGATAATAGCCATTCTGACAGGTGTGAGGTGATAGCTCATTGTGGTTTTAATTAGCATTTTCCTGATGATTAGTGATGTTGAGCATTTTTGCATATGTCTATTGGCCACTCGTATGTCCTCTTTGGAGAAATATCTATGCAGGTCCTCTGCCCATTTTTTGATTAGATCATTTGAGGTTTGTTTTTTTTTTTTTTTGGTCTTAAGTTGTACGAGTTCCTTATATAGTTTGGATATTAACCCCTTATTGGACGTACCATTGTCGAGTGTCTTCTCCCCTTCACAAGGTTTTCTTTTCGTTTTGTTGATGGTTTCCTTTGCTGTGTGAAAACTCTTTAGTTTGATATAGTCCCATTGGTTAATTTTTTGTTTCCCTTGCCCAAGGAGACATATCCAAAAAAAAAATATTACTGAGAGTGGTATCAAAGAGCTTACTGCCTAAGTTTTTTGGTTTTGTGGTTCGGGGTCTTAAATGTAAATCTTTAATCCATTTTGAGTGATCCTGTTTTAGTCTTTTGCATATATCTGTCCAATTTTCCCAGTACCATTTATTGAAGAGACTGTCTTTACCCCATTGTATATTCTTGCCTCCTGTGTCCTAGATTAAATGACCATACAGGCATGGGTTTATTTCTGACCTCTCCATTCTGTGTCATCGATCTGTGTGTTCTATGCCGGTACCATGTTGTTTTGCTTGCTGTAGCCTTGTCATATAGTTTCATAATCAGGTAGTGTGATATCTGCAACTTTGTTCTTCTTTCTCAAGATTGCTTTGGCTATTTGGGGTTGTTTGTGCTTTCATGTAAGTTTTTTGATTAGTTATGTGAAAAATGCCTTTGATATTGTGATAAGGATGGCATTGACTCTAGATTGCTTTGGGTCGTGTGGACATTTTAATGATGTTAATTCTTCCTACCCATGAGCACGGTATATTCTTCCCTTAATTTGTATCTTTAATTTCTTCAATGTCTTATAATTTTCTGAGTACAGAACTTTTACCTCCTTGGTTAAATTCCTAGGTATTTTATTCTTTTTGGTGAAATTACAAATGGGATTATTTTCTTATTTTCTTTTTCTAACAGGTCATTATTGCTGTATAAAAATGCAACAGATTTCTGAATATTAATTTTGTATCCTGCTACTTTGCCGAATGCATTTATTCTAATAGTCTTTTGGAGGATTCTCTGGGATTCTCTCTATATAGTGTCACATCATCTGCAAATAATTACAGTTTTACTTCTTCCTTTCCAATTCGAATACCTTTTACTTCTTATCTGATTGCCGGGTCTAGAACTTCCAATACTATGTCGAATAGAAGTGGTGAAAGTGGCCATCCTTGTCTCGTTCCTGATCTTAAAGAAAAGGCTTTCAGCTTTTTACTATTGAGTATGATGTTAGCTGATGGTTTGTCATATCTTATCTTTATATGGCGAGGTATGTTTCCTCTATCCGCACTTTGCTGAGAGCTTTTATCATAAATGGATGCCGGATTTTGTCAAATGATTTTTCTGCATCTATTGATAGGATTACATATTTATCATTCGTTTTGTTTATGTGATGAATCACATTCATTGTCTTGTAGATGCCGAACCAACCTAGCTGGAAGTCTCACCTCTCTCTTTGTTTAGGTCTTTAATTTTTCTCAGCAAAGTGTCATAATTTTTACTGTCGAGATCTTGCACGTCTTTCATTAGCTTTCTCCCTAAGTATTCGATGTTGTTTGATTCTGTTGGAAATGGCATCACATCAGCCCCTTGAATGCTCACCCAGTATCCCTGTCCATTACTAACACTTTTGTTCTCCGTGGGCCTGAGAAACAAATAATCAGCGTTTCCTTTTCCAGGGAGTCAGTGTACCTTGTCTAACCCATTAAGGTGGAAAAGGTATCATAGTTTCACTGCAGGAAACCTATTTCAGAATCTAAACATTGCAGCCCAGAAATTATTTTTTTTTGATCTAACCTAAATCTCTCCATGTGGCATTTCAGCATATTTCCCTTTAGTTTGGTTCACAGTTTGCCTTCCATAAAGTTTTCATGTTGAGTAGTGCGCTCTTTGAATCATCGTACAGATATTTCTGCCATGTCGTAAACATATGTATAACCTTTCTCAGGAGGGAATTTACTCATGATATACAGTATTAAGTTAAAAAAAAAATTCTATAAAAATCTAATTTTATTTTGTAAATGTATGTGCTTACATAAAAAAGTCAAAAGAAAATGCCCGATGGTGGTTATCTCTGGGTGCCTAGCTGATGGACTTTTTTAATGTGTCAACATTTTCAAAATGTTTATGATGAACATGCATTATCTTTGTACGAAGCAAAAAAAAAAAAAAAAAAAGCCAGCATTTTTAAATGGAAAAAAGAATTCAAACTGCACATTACAATTACTAGCTTGAACTTCACTCTCCCCTTCATCGTGTAGTCTATTAAAATTTGCTGGTGCAATTAAAACAGGTATGCGCCATATCTTAAGATAAGAAAGAGAAACTCCTTTTTCAGGTATGTCAATTTTCCTGCCCTTCTGGCTAGCAATAAATTCCACTGCGTGCTGAGAATTCGCTCCTCACACTTAGAACCTGGCGACACCTGTTTTATTTCACACTCTTGATTCCTGGGGTAAATCCCAGATCCACCATGTGGGCTCCAGTTAAATTCCTTCATGGTCCAGCTGTGGTGTCCACCCCCCGCCCCATCAGCTGGCCTAGTAACCCCTAGTTTATTGACAGGTTCTCAGGAATCAGATAGCTCTCAGTCTGCCAAGAAAGATATGCTGGCTGCCTTGAAGTCCCGGCAGGAGGCCTTAGAGGAAACACTACGCCAGCGGCTCGAGGAGCTCAAGAAACTCTGCCTCCGAGAAGCTGTAAGTGGTTACCTTTGCATCCCGGGGAACTCTGTGTTGTCTGTGCCCTCGTCTGTCTTCAGGTCTTTGCAGATGGTGATAGCGGGGGTTATAGAGGGAGCAGACGAGGGAAGCGAGACCGCTCCTGATACACAGACGGTGGAAACGCCCGGCCCTATCACATGCCCCGTCAGAAACGGAAGTGGTGGACGTCAGTTAATGCAGCACGAGTAGACCAGTTAAAGCGAGTCCTGGAAAAGTCCCAAGCGGGACCCCTCTAGAGGCCAAATGCCAAGTAATAGTAACAGCCGAGGTAGCAGTTGTAAATAATAACGACGTGTGCATGCTACACCTTAGTCTGTAAAGCATTTCCTCAGACACTGTTTCTTCCTGGAACATAATGGTTTGCCACTGTCTTTCTAAGTTTTCGGGTCTGACTTTTGTGTCTCAGATTTATCTTACCGAGATAAATCGTACTGAGAAGCATCATTGGGGCTCCACAAGGAAACCAGGATTTCACTGAATATAGAATCCCCTTTACCACGCACCATCTTTTTAACACAATTAAATCTCAGCCGAGTGATATAATGAAGTTTTATACAAAGCAGTGTTTCCTCCAGCCCGCACATGCACTAGTCTCAAGTTTCACTGGGATCCAGAGGCGGTGACGGGCCCCCATTGTATTTATTTGAATGTCCATTTCCACCTTCTTGTGTTTGGTGCACAGCCCTCTGTTAGCATGTGTGAAGAATTGAATTCCGAGTGCAACACACACTCCCGTGCACGTGTGTGTGCATTCACAAGGACGGCATGGGGCGACAGCCCTCCAGAGAGACCGCAGTCCGCGTAACATTACACAGAGCCGTGTCCGTGAACAGTTGAGAGCGGGAAATAGAGATTCTCAGACTACGATCCCCTCCCCCAAACACGCATGGCCTCGCTGCAGGCAGAATGAACAAGAGGCCATGGAGTGAGATCACATTACATTTCAGCTTGGCTTAATTATGCTCTGGATCGATTTAAGCCAGAGCCGGCTCAGAGCAGGCCCACATGAGCACAACCCGTCGCAAATCTTAGGAAAGCAGGTGTCCTGGCCAGGGGTTGTGCTCTGGGACACAGTAAATGTTAGCAGCCTTTGTATAATGAATATGCGGGAAGGACTGAAAAAAAAATAAGAGTTTGGGTGTCTGCATTTAATAATTTGTAAAGTCCTTGCTTTGTTTTTAATAGCGGCACCATCCCTAAACCCAGCAGGGAGTCAGCCTTGGAAAATTGGAGAAACATGTCAGGGCATGGTCAGCAGGCCTTAAGGAAAGGTCTGACTTTCTCTCTTCAAAATAAAAGCAAAATAAGGAAAACAAAGCTCCCGCTTCTTATAATGTCGACAGCAGAAAACAGAATTTGAGCGGAAGAAATAACCTCAATGGCCGTAGGCAGATGGCTTCTGTGCTGGCTCCCGCCAAGGTCTCCCCGCCCCATCTGTAATCAGGGACGGGAGAACCTCCTAGCTAACTCTGCTACGAATCGCACACACCGCACCCCTCACTGCGTGTCCCCTGGGGAGCTGGCCGGGCAGCCAGAATGAGGTGGAGCGGGAAGCAGTTGGCAGGAACAACGAATATGAGGACACAAGAGGAGCTGAGCTGAGCTGCCACAACCAAGCGGGAAATTCCTCCCTCCCCACGCGGCGCGGCTCTGGTTACGTGTGAAATCACATTGAACGTGGAGAATCGGGGCCTGCACTCCAGTACCTTCAAGCAGATGGCGGAAAATCAGTAGCCTCGTTTTTTAACATACTTAGTTTTAAAACCTCAGATACTTTGGACTTGTAAATCAATGGCCGTGCTAACCACTTCTCCCTGCTTTTTTTTTATAACTTGCAGGGTGAAAAAGAAAGTCCTCACAATATAAAGTCCTCAGTATGTGTCTTATTTATAGACCAACTTTTAGGGAGGCGGATAAAAATACTGCAGAATAAACAAAAAGGACTTGGGCGGCGTTCGAACACGTTGAAAAAAGAAACAGGGAAGAAAATTGCAGAGCATTTCATACTCAAATAGTTGGCCATTGTGCTCCGAAATGCTTACAGAGAGAGAGGAAAGGCCAAGAGTTCATTTCCCAGCGCCCGCACGCAGATGGGAAGGGGCCCGGGAGCGCGGGGGTTGGGGTGCTTGTGCACACCAGATACGCACACACACCCCAGTGGGTGCACGTGTGCGCACACACTCCAGTGCACACACCAGTATGCACACACTCCAGTGTAGGCATACACTCGCACACACACACCAGTGCACAGCATACACCCCAGTGTGAGTGCACGCACACACGCGCGCACACACACACACACACACACACACACGCACATACATACATAGTGGGGAGGAGGGTCCAGGTCACGCCTCTCCGCAGGTGGGTCGGCGTGGACTCTGTTGGTTCCGGCTTTCCCTCCCAGGGGACATTCGCGTGGGGCCACCCAGCACAAAAGCCTTTTGTGTGAATGATGGACTGCGAGCTTTTCCTTGAGTCTCTGCAGCACTGGCTTTGATTTGGGCTAAGAAACCAGGTCTGGATTGTACCTGGAGGTAATACCTGTGCCATTCAAAGGCACACATTTTCTGGGTTTTCTGGTCCCTGAAGGCGACTTCTGCACCTGATGTGTCAGCTCTACCATGTGGATGAGCTGCTGGCTCAGAGTCAACTTGCGTTGAGCCCAGACCCAGCCCCTGCCCTAGAGCCCGGTTCTAACCCGGACTCGTCCCATGGACCTCAGGGTTTGCTGGATCATGGTCACTGTGTCAGTCCGTCAGCTAAGTTCACTGTCGTTATCCTCACAGCAATTAGATTTCCAGAGCCCCAAATACATGACAGACCTAACAGCCTTGTCAGTAACACAGGTTATAGTTTCAGTCGCTACTGAGACTCTTATTTGTATAGATTTAATGTCTCTTAAGCTCAGCCTGTTTGCTGAACGTCCAGCCTGAGTGGAATGATTATCATCGCATTCAGGTTCTAATTTGTCATTTGCCTTTTTCTGGGATTTGCCATCTAGATATCGCTCTTCCTGCGAAAGCTCATTGGAAAGACATTTTAATCTGAGATATTCGTAAGGGAGTATTTGATGCACAGGTGGCTGGAAGCCCAGAGACCTCTCTCGCATTGGCCCTGCCCCTGCTGGCCATGTAGCTCCGCCTGGCACACAGTGGGCATGCAGGAAACACTTGAGCAACTAACAAACGAATGAAATGCAGGTTTTACGATTAAAACTAAGGACGAGATTATTTATCTGACAAATTTCCTTTCAGAAGCACTTTTCGAAGGGCATCCGTTCTGTAAAGAAAGGACGGCTTGCATCCATCTTTAGAGAAAGGAAATCGCAGCTCCAAGTCTCACGTGGACATTTTGCTTGAGGGTCCTGGGTCAGGTCTATGCATGGAAGTATCTGTGTGTCCTCACAAACCCAGCACGTGGCCCCCTCTGACTTCATTCTCCCCTCACGCTGTCCACATTTGCAGGAGCTGACGGGCAAACTGCCCGTCGAATACCCCCTGGATCCGGGAGAGGAACCACCCATCGTTCGCAGGAGAATCGGGGCAGCCTTCAAACTGGACGAGCAGAAAATCCTGCCCAAGGCAGAGGTGCGTCCAGCCTCCTGGGGGCGAGCTCTCTCACGCTCCCTTCCCACGCGGGAGGACGTCCCCGTTTCCTCGGACAGTTTCTTCCTTCTGCCCAGTGCCAAAGGCCCCTCCGCCTTTCCTCCCGAACATCTTCCCTTTCGCCTCCTGTTAAGCGACCCGGTTGGCCAGTATGTGGCCCACCTCGGTAGGACTGGTCCGCTGGCATTCGTAAGCACTTTGATTTTAGTGTGAGTTGTTTCTCTGACACGAGAGGCCTGTTGCAAGCTGCTAAGTTAATCTTGGGAGAACATTCTACTAGCACCTGTCACATGTCCTTTTAGTGGCCTCCCAGCCCCGTGTCACGCAGAGCCAAGGGTCATGTCCAATCCATGGAAGGAAGAAAGCCACCAAAGGGGAAAGAAAACTTAGGCCATGCCAGCAGGGGCGGGAAAGCCACCGGCTGGGAAGAGACGCTGGGTCCACCCTCGGTCGTCCCGACTTCCCTTTGCGGCTGAAGTCAATGCCAGGGCGTGAGCAGGACCCTGGGCCCCCGGCCTCCCTCGTCCGTCCGTCTGGTAGAGCTGCTGAAGCATCGCTCACTTCTGCTCTTTGGCCTATTGGTGGGGTGTGGGGTGGGGGACCAGGGGCCTTGGGTCTCCGACTGGTTTAATAAGTTATCCAGCCTCAGAGCAAGAGAAGTACAGAGTCAGGTCCAGGAAACGTCTTCCCAGATTCAGAGTCCAGTGACCTGTTAAAATGCCCTTGAACGGCGGGCTTAATGGGGCAGCGGTCACAGCCCGCAGAGAAGGGCATGCCGTACACGGCTCGGCTTTTTAAAAAGTGACTGGGAGAAGCCGATGTCCTGTAACAGGTGGCTCCATGCAAAGGCAAATTCGCAGGAACACAGGCGCCCTGGAGCCCGCGGGAGGGGAGGACTGGTCCCCTGGGATTTGTGCGGTGACCTCCCCTGCCCTGTGCTCAGCAGACAAGGCACTCAGCTTCTATGAGGAGACCCTAATTAAGAGACTGTCCCCCAACCCGTGCCCCATTGTCCTTCACAGTCCCCCGCACCCCATCTTGTCACTGGCTGCTCCTTTGCACTTGTCGGCCAAAGGCCCCGTAGGTCCCCAAGAATTCCACGTGCATCCATTCCGTCTTCCTTCTCTGTCCTCTGCGTCTCGTCCAGAAGTCCCTCACCGGCAGGAGCACGGGATCAGCTGGCTCTTCACAGGGCGTGGGAAGGAAGAGCTCCCCACTTCCCCCAGAAACGCGCTTGGTGGCCCCAGCCACGCAGCAGGCAGCCACCTGTGCAGACAGGGCCACCAGCCTGTGCTTGTCTCAGCTGAAGTAGCGAGAACTTGTCCTGGGTGCCCACAAAACTTCGGGGCGGCGCCCTGTGCCCGGGCTGTCAGGACAGCCGCCAGGTAGCGTCACACCTTGTCCCTGGCCACCTGTCCATCCTGACATTCTTCTCCCTCCCAGGGAACAAATACAGCCAGAGTCGGAAGGATCTGGAAGGAGGTTAGAGTTTGTTTTCTCCTAATTAGTGCTGCCTGACCTCCAGCTTTCCGTCTCACGCGTCCTTCCCACTCCCTTTGGTCTTAAAGTGCTCGAAAGCCAGTCCAGCGTGGAGGCCCCAGCCTGCTGCGTGGTGCCCGGAGGCCGGGCTCTTTAACCGGCCACCAGCTGGGAAGGTCTGCTGATCCAGACAGACTTGCCTCCACATGGAACAGGGACCGAGGGTGTGGAAAGTGGGTGCTCCCAGGGCACCCAGCTGCCAGAGATTGTAGCAGTGGGGCCAATGCAAGGTCAGGCAGGGTGGGAGTTAGGCACTGGGGCTGCTGGGCTTCCCAGTGCTCGTGTACCCCAGGAGTAGAGACGGCTGGCCGGCCTTGCGGCAGGGCCGGGGAGCACGGGGGGCGCCCTGAGTGTAAGCCGTGCTGTCCCGCCCACAGGAAGCCGAGCTGGAACGCCTGGAACGCGAGTTCGCCATTCAGTCCCAGATCACGGAGGCCGCCCGCCGCCTCGCCAGTGACCCCAACGTCAGCAAGAAACTGAAGAAGCAGAGGAAAACCTCTTATCTCAATGCGCTGAAGAAGCTGCAGGAGATTGAGAATGCAATCAACGAGAACCGCATCAAGTCTGGGAAGAAGCCCACCCAGAGGGCCTCGCTCATCATCGACGGTCAGTGCCCACCCTGCTGCGTCATGCCGCGGCACGCTGCCCCCACTGCCCCGGGGAGCCGGCGCCAGTCCCGCATGTGGGCCGAGAGCCCCCCGCCCCCCGTGACCTCAGCAAGCTACTTCACCGCCCTGTGCCTTCACTTTTCCACCCATAAAACAAAGCTAATAAGACCTCAGACCAGATGAGAGCCATGAGGAGCACTCAGGCCCATAGATGAAAGGGTTCTGTCAATCGAACTATCATTATCCATGTTTATGGCTCCCTGGGAGAGCCTGCCGCCATGAGCTAATCGCCCCTCCCCCGCTCCCCGCCAGCCGAGCCCCAGACGGCCCAGGCTCTGCCGTTCTCAGGGGCCCGATCAGCCTGCCGGGGTCTGGACGGCAAGGAGGGCGGCCGGGCTACTGTACTGCGGGGCAGCATCGCAGCCACTCTTCGTCCTCCTCTGTCTCAGGCTCCTGTCCCAGGGCTGACCCGGGAGGACTGGGCCACCCACGCTCAGTGTCTAGAGCCTCGAACTCCAGTCGGGAGGGGTCAGGAGTCTGGGTGATTATATTCGCTTAACACTAGAAGGAAAGACCCCCAAATTCACCAACAGCCATCAAGTCCCCCAAGCTTATAATCCTTTTGTTCTTAAGTCAGCAAATTCTTCGACGTCTGTACAAGGATTCTTCCATCTTTTATGCACATGTAAAACGCTTTTGCTCAAGAAGGCAGACAGGACAGAGGTGGGTCCCAGGGAAGGGGCAGTGGGGAGCCAGTGCTTAACGGGGACAAGCGTTTCAGTTTGGGAAGATGAAAAAGTTCCGGAGGTGGGTGGCGATGGTCGCACAGCAATGTGAACGTACTTAATGCCACCCAACTGTGCAGAAAAAATGGCGAAAATGATCAATTTTATGTGTATTTTATCACGGTATATAATATAAATATGTATAAACGTATATACACACACAACCTAACACTGTGGGCACACCTGGAACACATCGCTATACCAGAGGCTCCGAGATGCCAGAGTCAAGGCTCGCTGTCTGCGAGGTGCTCACAGTCCATCGAGCGATAAGTTAATTCCTGGTTTTAGAAGGAAGAAACTGTTAAAAATCCCTTTGCTCTAAGGAACTTGGAATAACCATCTTTCCCCATCTTGCCCTGTTGACCTTGGCCAAGACCATCATTCCCCCGCCACTGCCTGGTAACGTGCTGTCCCCAGCCCTTCTCTATCCCGTACCTCTGTCCAGACGTCCCTCTGACCCCTCGAGGATGCTCGGGGTCCTGGCAGTAGGGAAGCGGCCCTGTGCCCAGCAGAGCCGAGTCTAGGGGGCACTGCGGGGAGGCGCGTCTCGCTGGTCAGCCACAGAAGGGCCTGGATTTGCGGCCAGCCCCGTGACGGTGACGGCTATTCTGTTAGGGACGCCAGCAGAGCCCGTCTTTAAATCGTTATCTGGACTAGTGGCTGGGCCCATCCTTAGCATGTGTGTTTTTTGTTGGTTTTTTTTTTTTTTTTCCCCCAAGAGATCAAACACTGAACTTAGCATCTGAAGACCCAGGACCTTTTGCTAATGTTGCCAGAGGAGCAGAGCACCCCTGGGCAGACCTGCTCCCTAGATGTACCTCAGTTTCCCCACCCATTCAAATGGGAGCATTACCTTTACTGTCTCCCCCTTAGGCATATCCGTGTGGTTAATTAAATGTCGTCTAGGAAAACAAGCTTTGGAGAGACAAGCTGTATTTAGCAGCTCGTTTTCTCTACTACTAATGAAGTAAGAAGTTGATTGAGAAGCCATTTAGGGCCCTGTGAGCAAAGCCAAGTTCCTTAGCCTACTTTCACATTTGTAGAATGTGAGACAGGCCGGCCGTGGGACGGGGCCGGGGCGATGATGTGGCTTATCCAGGCCCAGCAGCCTTTATGTTGGGCGTTAAGCTCCTCATCATGGTGGCGTCCTATCAAACAAGAGCACACGGACCGGGACACACTGCAGTGTCAGGCGTGGGGACGTGAGCTAAGCACCCACCAGAGGGATTTTCAAAAGAAATGCCCAGCAGCATTTCGATGGCGTTGCGCGGGTTCTTTCTGATTAGAAAGAGAAGGACCTGGGACGGTGCTCATAACCTCGCGACTGCTGCAGGCAGGGCTTTGTCTGAGGGGCGCGCTAGGCTCAGACTTCTGCTTTTTGTCTTCGCAGATGGAAATATCGCCAGCGAAGACAGTTCCCTCTCAGATGCCCTCGTTCTGGAGGATGGTAGGTTGTCCGTTTCCTGCTTGAGAGCTGGGAGCACAGATGAAACTGGGATTAAGCTAGTGTGTAATCTGGGGCAGGCCACTGGAAGGGCAAGAGCCAGGAGGAGGTGGCAGCTGGGTCCCCTGCAATTCTCTCCTTTTCCAGTAGCCACTGATTTGGTGGGAAGTGGGTGGGCACCACATGAGTCATGTCTATTAGAATTTTCGTATTTCCTATGGCTGAGAGGTGAGATTTACGGTGATATCCAGTGAGTGGTACTTTACTTTTTTAGTTGCCCAAACCACATTTTTAACTAAACAGAGAATCTGCACACCATACATAGTTTCATTCTGAGTATTCGTAATTTCTGGAGGAAAGGGGCAGACATTGGTTTGGATCATAAATGAAAGATCGACGCCTGATAGGAGAGCCTGGGGGTAGCAGGAAAAACCGAAGTGAGCCCCACCTGGACCCCCCCAGGCCACCGCCACACATAGGGGAGCAGAACTCCAAACACACAGCCATCTCCGAGAATGTTCCGTGGAATTCACCCCAAATTGGAGCGGCCGGGGCATTAATGAAATGGAAATACATTAAGTGGCAGTTAATTTTTTTTGCCTGGTCGGGAAACCTCAGGTGGGCAGTGATAAGTGGCTCTTCAGACAGAAAACATGAAAGGTCTACCCAAGCCAGAGTAATGAGGATAATTGCAATAATAATAATAATTGCTGTTGATGTGGGGAAGGCTGGTGAGTAGTTACCCAGTTGTCTTGGCCCTGCTCTTAGCAATTGGATTGTAATATTTTTATTGTCAGCTTCCTTACATGGGTGGGGAGGAAGTGGGGCTGCAGGGAGCAGGGAGCTGTGCTTTGAATGTTAAAGACCCAGCCCTGGTTTTGGCCTCGCTGGACTCTAGTCTGTCCAGGGAAGGGAACGACACAATTTAGTGAGATTCCTTTATAAAAGAGGAGTCGGGGAGTTATGCGGTGTCGTTGGCTAATTTTGATGCATTATTTCTGGTTAGATTTCCCCCCATGTTCCAGACTCCCAGACGACCCAGGGGGATCACTGCCTCCCTCGGACAGCACCCCCCACTCCCACCCCTAGCTCCCACTGCAGATTCCCTCCTTCTAGGGGTTCTTTCCTGGTTTGCGGGGGTCAAGGGGCGTGCAAGCGGCGTGCATGCCCACGCTTTGGGGCTGGGGATTGAGAAGGAGAATACTAGCTGGGAATGGCTTAGGGTGAAGTGGACAGGTGCTGGGGTTTCAAGTTTGTTTCTTGGTGTTTTTCCCTCAAACTCTACTCCGCCTTCACAGGGAACACTGCATTTTGGGGGCCTGTCTGCTCAGCGCCGCCCTCCCCTGGGCTCTCAACATTGGCTCTCTTCCTTCACCCCTCCCTCGCCCCTCTCCTAACTTGGCCCACTTTTGCACCCTGCCAGAGGACGAGTTCTTCAACAGGGTTTTCATCCTGACACATCTGTGCTTAAGGAATTGCAGAGTTTTCTTGTGGCTTTGAGACGATCTGACTCCTTAGCCTGGAATTAGCAGCAGGGGCGCGCTGCTTATCAGCGCGCACAGTAGGCCCGCTGTGCTTTTACTCCCGCTCCCCCACGCCCCTGCTCACAGGGCCCCGAGCTCTTCCTTTCCTCTTCCTCCTCTGCCCACCCACTGCTGCAGTCCCTTCCGGGCCAGGCTCACCCACAGCTCCTTCCCCGACCCGGGGTCACTTCCTCCGAAGGCCCCACAGCACAGCACTGTCTGTGTTGGCGCCTCGGCCCCTGCAGGCAGGCGCCGGTCTTCTGCGCCTCTGCCATGTTTGTGGCCGTCGTCTCCTTCCCAAAGAACCGGAGGCAGCTCCAAAACATACACATGTGGGAACGTGTTAAAAGACAATGTATGTAGCAACTTCGGGGAAAAAGCGGAGAATCTGCTAGAACCACCAGCAGAAAATCACACTCAACAGATAGGCTTTCATTCATTTTTCCTGACACATATTTATTGAGCACCTACTGTGTGTCAACAGACATGGAGGGTATACCATTGAACAAACCAGACAAAACTCTCATGGAGCAGAAACGCCAACGCAGATTAGACGCTTCCTGTCTATTAAATGAAAACTTAGAATAATGACGTTTTGCTATTGGGTAGGAAGCAATCATTTGTCGATGGTATTTAAGGAAATTCGGGCTTTACCCCCGCAACTTGAAGCTACTCGGTTGAAACTTCTCCTCCCATGTAATGCTGCTCAGCGTTTGGGTTGGGTTTGCTTGGGACTGACCTGTCTTGGTACCCACCCGGGAGGCGTCATGGGGCGCCTTCGAGAGCGGGGGGCAGTCCGGCGGCCGGGGCGGGGCGGAGGTGGGGGTGGGGCCGGTCTGGGTCGGTGGGAAGGATGACCCCTCGCTCAGTCCCTCTCTTTCCGTCTCTGCACAGAAGACTCTCAGGTCACCAGCACACTGTCCCCCTTACAGTCTCCTCACAAGGCCCTCCCTCCGCGGCCACCGTCGCACAGCAGGCCCGCTCCTCCCCAGTCGCTGGAGGGACTCAGGCAGATGCACTGTCACCGCAATGACTATGACAAGTCTCCCATCAAGCCCAAAATGTGGAGCGAGTCCTCCTTAGATGAGCCTTACGAGAAGGTCAAGAAACGTTCCTCCCACAGTCACTCCAGGTGAGCTGGGTCGGGCAGAACACCGGGGGTGGGGGGGGCGGTGTGTGTCACGGTCAAGGCTTCTGAAAGCATCAGGCTGTTCCGGATAGCATCCACCCATCCCCAAATCCACATCAGCCCATCTCCTTCTCGGGTTGGCCTTTCACCAGGGCTGTGCTCACAGCGCCCCCTGCTGCCCACCCTGTCGAGGTGCAGACTGTCATTAGAAGGGAAGGCGGGGGTTTTGGCCTGCGACCAACGTGCTGGCAGACGGCTTCGATGTTGTTAAATTCCACAGGAATTAATTAGGAAGTCTTGGGCAGCACGATTCCGGAATGGCAAGTGAGAGTCCACTCATAGGAATCCCACAGTGATTCACAACCCTGAGCCATCGGCCAACAGAATTCTGGGGCCAAACAGCTGTGGTCTTGGCTGGGCGTTATCAGCTCATTACTCAGCTGACCTTGGAAAGAGGGTTTTTTCAGGAAGGCGTTTTTGGTCTGCTTCTCTGTTTTTCTCATTTCCTTTAATTATACCTTATGAAGCTCCAAGTGGGTGCCCAGCCAGGTAAATATTTGTCTCTCGGAAAACAAACTGGCCGAGAGCAGGGGCTTCACAGAACAGTCACACTGCTTGTTCCAGAGAAGGCTGACAAGGCCCTTCATCTCTCATCGCCCTGGGGGTCAGGGACAAGGACCCCTCTCCCCCGCCCCACACCTCCGTGTTGTGGGGAAAAGGCTGAGAACCAGGGTAGTGACCTGAGGGCGGGCGGGCGGGAGCCCTGGGCATGCTTCCCCAACACTGGGACTGACACCCCAAGGCTGGTCAGCTCCCTGGGAACAGGCTGGTTCCGTCCGGTGGTGACCGGCATGGCCTCCTCTGCTTTGCAGCAGCCACAAGCGTTTCCCCAGCACGGGGAGCTGCGCGGAAGCAGGAGTGGGGAGCGGCTCCCTCCAGAGCAGCCCCATCCGCAGCCTCCCTCACTGGGACTCGCAGTCCAGCATGCCGTCCACCCCCGACCTGCGCGTCCGGAGTCCCCACTACGTCCATTCCACGAGGTGAGTCCCCCCGGCCCTCGGCCACTCCCTCCCTGGACCAGGCCTTCCTTGTACAGTTTGGCATCACTGGCCCCCAGCTGGTCCAGATAATGAGTGAACTAGGGTCAGCGAGGCAGGTTCTTCTTAAAACGAAGCAGAGTAGAAAGCTGAGCTGGCACTGGTGAGCCCAGGTTGGCCGAGAGCCCTGTTCTAATCCTTTGTCCACAGCCAGTGGGTGCCGGGAGTGGCAAGAGAATCCCCTGCGGACAGTGGGCACGGAGGAGCTTCCCTAATCGAAGCACAGGCAGGAAGGGCCAGAGGATTAGCCGGGACCAGAACAACTTTGCACGATGGGGCACCCTCTACTGGGTAGTCCTCAGGTAGCTTTATCCTGGACCTTGTCATGCCTCAAGGCGTGAATTCATTAAGAAGCAAAGGGACAGGCAAAGATGAAGCTCTAGTGAATCATACTGTCATTTTTAGAAAGAGGCAAAACCAAAGCCATTTTATCGTTCCATTTTTTCAAAAACTGAGTCCGTGGGGACCACACCGCGAAGGGCAGATGGTGTACGTAGTGAAAACATTTTGTGTGGGATAAGGCGGAGCTCTCCAGGGGAGAGCGCCTCGTTCACGTGTGCATTCATGCAGCAAGTATTCATGAAGTGCCTGTCTGTACGAGGTACTGTTCTAGGGGATGGAGCAGTGAAGCGAAACACCACACGCCTGCTCCCGTCAGACTTCCGTTAGTGGGGAGAGGGTCCTAAAAAGAAATACATGTCCAGCGGTGATAAGCACTAAGACGAAAAATGAGCAGGGCAAGTGGCCGGATAGTGAAGGGAGAGGCCTCACTTTGTACTTGGCCAACGGGGCCACTGTGAATTTCACATGTGTCCCTAGCATTGTGTCCTGCAGTATTGATGGATACTTACAGAATGGACTCCGGTGAGCGGAATGGGTTATAAACAAACTATGGCGTGGTAATTATGTGCATCAGGCATCTCTCGTTCCGTGTTCCACCAGCCGGTCTTCATGGGAAGTGAAAGTTAGTGTTTGGTTGAACCACATGAAGTGCCTCTGCTGGACCGTTCTTTGACCTACCAAAACGGGGCGTTTAATTTGGTTTAACATAATTCTAGAATAGGCCTTCTCTCAGTTCTCTTTGTAGCTAAAGAGCCCCTTTCCACTTAAAAAAAGGCCCTGGCTAGAGCCATCCATTTTTCAGAGGAAACCCTTCTGTGGACGCTGTCTTCAGTCCTGCCTCCCACAGGGAATCAACAACCACAGCAGAGGCGTGCTGGCCTCCAGGGCTCAGCCGTGCCCACCCCCTACCCCTCTGTCCCCACCCCACCCCCACTCCCACCCCGGTCTTTACCCGGGATGGGAAGCGCCGGGATCCCAGAGCAACCCCGCTTTGGCCGTTGCCTAGCGCGCATTTGGGGAGGCCCTGGGCGGGCGGCCGTGTGCCCCTTTCTAAGCCCGACGATTGCAGAGCTCCCACCCACCTCCCCCGCGCGCCTTTCCCCCGGACACTGCCCCGGGCCTCCAGACACACGGGCCATCTCCCCGCAGGTCGGTGGACCTCAGCCCCACGCGCCTACACAGCCTCGCCCTGCACTTTCGGCACCGGAGCTCCAGCCTGGAGTCCCAGGGCAAGCTCCTGGGCTCGGAGAACGACACGGGGAGCCCCGACTTCTACACCCCACGGACTCGCAGCAGCAACGGCTCGGACCCCATGGATGACTGCTCGTCCTGCACCAGCCACTCGAGCTCGGAGCACTACTACCCGGCGCAGATGAACGCCAACTACTCCACGCTGGCCGAGGACTCGCCGTCCAAGGCGCGC